AAATGAGATCACACAGGAAGGCGTCCAGGTGGGTCTTGAATGTCTCCAGAGAAGGAGACCCCACAACCTCCCTGGGCAGCCTGTCCCAGTGCTCTGTCACCCTCACCGTAAAGAAGTTTCTTCTCAAGTTTAAGCGGAACCTCCTGTGTTCCAGCTCACACCCGTTGCCCCTTGTCCTACCATTGGACATCACTGAGAAGAGCATGTTATTCAGCACCTTGATCCACACTGGGTTCCAGAGCAAACCAGAGGCTATAGAAACTAACCCTAGAGTACTTCTCTCTCCAAAGTGACCTCTGTGCCGCAAGCTGGAAATGCGGGGGTGGCTGCAGGGCAGCTCTGGCTTGCTTAGTCAGAGAGCGCTCCGTTTTACACCAATGCCCCCACATAGGACAGACTCTGCCTGTGCCAACCCTCTGATTCAAAGCATGGATCCTAGACAGAACACCTCACCTTCAACTGCAAGGAGCAACCATAGCAAAAGGCAAAATCCCAAGCCCCAGGGTGCAGCCTGAGCCAGCAGACACGTAGCCTGCCATAGCCACTGACCACCAGACTGCCCCACCTCCAGAGGAGGCCTGGCATGGACAATCCTCCAAAGCCCAGACCCCGAGCAACCCGGAGCTCCAGGCAGCGTGACTGCCTCCAGAAAGCCCACCTGCACATACCAAGCCCTAGGCAGGCCTCTGGCAGGACGTCAGGGGCTCTCCTTAGTCTCCAGCTGCCACTTGAAGCGCTCAGCTCTGTAAGATCCCATAGTGCTTTTTTGCAAAATGGAAGGGAACTAATCTCACTGCTGGCCAAATTCCAGCTTTGAGTAATTACATTCTTCTGACAAATTTTCCTTGGCAGTTTCAATGGAATATAATTAGTAAATGTAAATAGATGTAAATAGTGCTGTAAATTACACTTTGCGTGATTGTCAGAAGTGGAGGAGGAGAGTGAGGGTGAAGGGGCAAAAAGAGCAGAGCTTCGTTCTCCAATATGGATGATGTTGTGGCCTTCCCTGTCTCCAAAGTGACAAAGACTGAGTATGGCTATGCCGGGACAGCCTGCAGCAGATGCCACAATCCAGGATCATCGTGTGGTTCATCACACAGATCATCCACTTCACCTCAAGTACAATTTTGACCTGACGGTGTTCAGTCATGTCCCACAGCTGTGTTCGCAAGCAGCTGCTGTGTTCCACCTCAGCTGTGCTTCTGCTTCAGCAGCAGGCAAACTGCTTCACACACACAACTGCAAAATGTGTGAATATCATATTAGTGTTTTCTATTAAATTCTTACCAAATTTGTGAATGGTTTGTGAAACCTTCTGCTACCAACTGAAGAACTGTCATATAAATTGAATTATATAATTCTCCTTCACAGCTATTTTAATGCAGCTGCATGTACTAGTTTCACCTAAAGTGGAAATAGCTTCTTCCAAAAATAAATTAAATACATATATTTAACTTCATGTATTCAAGTAGATTTAAAAGCAACTATTTAAAGTAATTAAAATAGATTATAATGTATACCTTCCTTATATTATCCACATATTAGTACTTTTTTATGTGTCAAATGTCTCTTGCATACATAATCTACTTCAAATATAAATTGATACGGCTAGTGGGCTTAATCAGATATTTCTTTCTTTCATACAGAAAAGCTGAACATGATTTTTCAATAACTCATTTTTATTTTTATTCAAAATTTGCATATAGAAAATAGCTAGCAGAAACTAGTAAAATGAAGGGAAAGTTTATTTTCTTAACAAAAGCTTGTTGCACTATTTAGCTTTAACAGGAAAAACAGATGTTTCAGCTTTACAATACCATGTCTTGCAAAACTTCCTTCTAAACGACTATTCGTGCTCTACATGTTTTGGACTGTGTATCGAGAGCTCTGCTAACAGTCAGGGGAAGCATTGTATACATTAGTAAAGCCCACATTAAGATAATTAGTGCTAAAAAAAAAAAATCAACAAGCCTTTTTTTTCCCTTTATAGTATTGATTTAGTGTGGGTGAAAAATGCCAGATTTTCAGTCTTGAAGATTCATGTTCCACCACAGAGCGGGAGATGGAGCCAGCTTTTCCCAGTGTTCTGCCAATAAACTCTTAGATTAACCATCTCAAGGGCTAGGAGGAAGAGCTAGGCTCTGCAGTCTATCAAGCCTTAGTCTCTCTGATGAAGTTATGAACATGAAGAATGGTGAGCACACTACCTGGGACAAGGAACTCAAATTCTTAATCTTTGTGTCTGCATTTACCCAGATACATTCTTGTAAAAAATTTTCAAAATTGTCGTGGACAACAGAAACGACCAGGAGGCAGTACTGAAGCTGCGCTGCTGCAGAGAGGACTCTGGGCAGTGGTAGCAGCTTTGGGAAAATTTCTACATTGGAAGAGGCCTTTGAAGCTCATTTTATATCTTATATGTGTACTTTCTAAATGGCAAACTCTGTTTTAATACAGACTATTTTCATAAAGGCTCTGTAACCTTTTGCAAATCTTATGATGGGTTCTACACATCATTTAACTCTTTGTCTGGCAGTAACTTTACCTTGTGGAGACTGAAATGAAATTCAAACAATTATGAAATTGTTTGGATTGGTCCCATCTGGTTATGTGAGCAATAACATATAACACATAACCAGATGTGACCAGATTATGGCAGTTTAAAAATTTACTCAAGATGCTGAAGTCAGGGCAGTTTAAGGTAGCAACTTTTGTTTAGTATTAAATGGCACGCTAAGAGCATGCACATGAACAGCTCTGAATACTCTGTGGATAGGTGGCTACTTGCTAAACCACCTTACAGCTTGAGTTTATTCCCCTGGGGAAGGATCCACTGCAGACATGCCTCCAAAGAGAATAACATGTCTACTAGTATGTTATTTATTTAAGTAATAGAGCTATCCAGGTTAGTTGAGGATGACAGCATTTTGCTTAGTGTTCAGAAGGGTTGCTTTAAAACCACTTGCTTTCAGGCAAAGTGATAATCAGTCTAAGTACTGTAAGACTTTTCTAATGGAAAGCCAACACATCTTTTTTCATTTAGTCTGCAAGAGTACACTGAGCACAGCTGTTTTACTGAAAACAACCCACTGGTATTTAAGTAGATTAACAAAATTAACTGTGAAAGTCATCTGCTATGTGAAAGCCAATAACCTGTTGGCCACAAGGAGGCAGGGCAAGGATTCATCAAACCCAAGGAAATTGCTTTTATTAAAAAAAAAAAAAAAAAAAAAAAAAAAAGAGCGTTAAATTAGTTCAGTCATGAAACTCTGAACTGCTAGGCAAGATAAAAAGCACTTTTCAACCACAGTGTGTGGTTTCAGTATTGTCGTTTTACTCCAAGAGCAGCAAATATCTTAAGATATCAAACAATAAATGATCTGGCAGCAATTTTCTGCTTCTTTTGAAGAAACAGATCACACATGTTTCTTCTTCATCACTTCTGTGTGATGTAGAGAAAAACTCTAACACTGAGATTTGATATCAATAGTGGATTTAATGATTCAGAGCAAGATGCAGTGCTGCCAGGTTCACCAGGTATTGCTCCCAAGCAATCCTGCTTCTGGGCAGCTTTGGGAGCTCTGCCTTTCACTTCCTTGGCACTTCTAATTTCAGGAATAAAAGCAAGCAGAGGCAGTTTGGTGTCTGCAGTCCTTGACCGAGGACCTTATGCACAGTACTGTATAGTGATGCCTCCTTTAAGCAGAACTTTAGGACATTCCAAAATCAGCACTAACTCGAGGTCAAACTTCTAAATGACAAAGGGGCAAAAGATGAAAATAAAGCCAAAGCATCTCTGTTTCAGAGTTAAATTGAAAAGGATTACATTTAACAGTGAAACTAAGCTTTCCACATTATCAGCACATCACAGTCCAAATCTATGAGTGATCTTTATTTTAGATGAAGAGCTTTACTCCTAGCTCTACCACTGCATGCTACTGAGCTAGGTAATTTCAGTCTCCTATGCCTCTGTTCCTTCATCTTTTAAGCAGTTGCTTTCCTTCTTTGTGAAACAGTATGAGGACCATGGATAAAAAACATGCTATAAGAACCAGTTATTATTAATGCAATTCAGATACAGAATGCACCAGATGGTAAAATCTCCAGGATTTTAATGAACTATTGTAACAGAACATATGTAATATGACGTTACTATAACAGGCATTTAAATGTATAGTTAGTACATACAACGTGACCTGCTCTGCTCTCAGTAACTCCACTGGAATTATTTTGGATTTATGTCAGATAATACTAGGAACACAAAATAGCCCCATATGTGCAATGTGGTAAGGTTTTCATAGCAACGCTATCTTAACTATTGCCTATCCTGTTTTTATTTTTTGCTGGGGGTACTGTATTTAGTGGTCTGTTAAGAGTAGGCTTTCTGCATTTAACTGAGTGGGAAGTAAAAAAAATACCCTCATATCAAAGACTAAAATACCTCTGGCCAGGTATCCCTTACCTACCATCATAAAATAGTCAACATGAAACAGCAAGAACTTTGGGGTTTTATTTTCACTATATTCTGTAAATTTATGCCTTTGATCACCTTATGCTTGACTTGGTAAGCAATTCATGCTTGTGTCAGAAGAGCCAAACATTCAGTTTCGGACTGTGAGGGCAGTAGTACCTCCTTTCTCCCACAGCATTTGAGTTCTGGACAAGATGAGTTACATGACTGAACAAAGGTGAAAAAACAGGACTGCAGCTCAAGCCACTGGCATCACACATTACAGTCAGAGACAGGTACTGACTTCAGTAAAGGAGGAACATGAAGATACTATCAGTATGTATAATAATTCTAGTACATCTACAACACAGACTGTAAAACTCAAGTGAACTGACATTTAATATATGAGAGGCTGGAAGCAAGATATCAATTTCACATCATAAATTAGCCTTTGTGCTAGTGCCCAAGGATTTAGCTGATTACTCATTGCTTTCCCTTAGTGCTTAAGCAGTCTTTTCCAAAGCAAGACAGTTAAACCACAAAAACGTACCGTAGTGTCCACAGCCCTGACCTTCCCAGCAGGAACGTGCTTTGGAATGGGTTCTTCTACTGATATCATCATGCAGCCTTCTGCTCCAAGAGTTACAATTACGAGCTTACACCCTCTTTCTAACAGCATGCGTCCCACCTTTTCAGCATCTTCAAGGTTGCCAACTGGGATGCCCGTTAAAATTTCTGCCTGGAAAATAACCCACGCAAATGAAAATCATAATCTGACAGCATTCATTTTTGGACAACAGTCACATTTGAAAACAGTATTTAATATCTTTTTAAAATGTGTATTATAGGATGATCATGAAACTACTTCCTACGCTGATAATCAGCTATGTCTTGTTCCTCGTTTGAAATCGGCGTGCACTTCAGGCACAGCAGAAATGGAGAGCAGCCTAGGCAGGGATGCAGGAGGCATGGGTTCTTTTCCAGCTTTATGACTTGCCTGGCGTGCAACCCTTAGTAAAATCCCATTTCTCCCACATGCCTCAGTTTCTTCATCTGTGAAATGGACACAATGACACAGCCTTGGCAAAAGCAGTTTGTGATCTAATGTGAAAAATGCTACATGGCAACTTGGTCATTATTGTTGGGGGACATTTATCACTAAGTGAGAAACTTTTAAAATTCTTTTTTAAATTCTCAGTGTTCAGCTAGGGGGAAATCACAAGGGAAAATCTCTTCAAGGGAAAAAACAAATTGCTCAACTTTGACGACTCTGTTTACTTTAATATATATTTTTAGATAAGAATACCTAACAGTTATCTGAAGCCCTCTTTGGGCAAAGGCCCATTACAAGATTATTATATACTGGTGTTATGGCCATGTCCATAGACCTCTGTCAAGACTGAGACTCTTCTGTGTTAGCTCTGTACAAACACAGATAAACTCTTCTTCTAACAGATGGTGACCTTAAGTCAACTTCTCCCAGTTGGCTCTTAAAATTAATCTTTTCTCGTTCCACCCAACTAAGAGCAAAATTTCCCCCAAATCTGCAATGAAGACTCCAGAATCAAGCATCCTTTGCACAACTTCATATATTTTCTTGATGGCATAGCATTGTCAAATGTAATATACTTTTCCTTTTTCTTTTGGCAGGGAAGAGAACAAGAATGAAACAGGAAGAAAAGGAAGAGAAAATACAATGTGTTTTATCTGAAACAGTCTAGCAGGCAGTACTCCTGCATAATACAGTATGCCTTCAATTGTAAGTAAACAGACATATTATATTTTGCTGTCTTTACTAAATCTTGTCCTGCTTGCCTGAGAAGAGGGAAATCCTACTTCATCTTGCACTACAAGGTTGCTGCTGGATCCTGAAAAATGCAGTCTAAAGTATTTTCAGATAACCGCCTAGTAACTGGGCACAGCTGCCACACTCCTAGGCCTTATTTTCAGTGGAAAACTTACTTTGGAAGCTATTCACCAGCTACACTTCCTGACCTCTGCTGCATGGGCAGCTCTGCTTCTTGGGAAACAGCTGCTGAAATATTTCAAACTACCTTCCTCTGCATTACTGAAACTTGAATTCAGTGCACATACTTCTCGATAGAACGGGCTGTAAACTACAGTGATTAAACAACTGCTCCACGAAGCACAGGCCATGCCTGTAGTAAAGAGAAGGAGGGCAGACAGCTAGGGACAGGAACTACTACAGCCATCCCAAAGCAAACCGCCCCCAGCTGTGAGTCAGCGCCCGCTGCTCGCCACTGTCATTTCCTGTGTTTCAGCCTGACCCAGGAGAGAGAAGCCACCCTTAGGCTCTGAAGGGCCAGATAATGCCAGCACACTCCCCAGAGTTTATAGTTTCATTAGCAGAGCCCTTACTGGTTTTAATTTTCAAACTTACGGGACCAAGTTCTGCAGTCCCTACTGAGACAAACGCACAAATGATTCCAAGCATTGGTCTGATGGCTACAAGGCTGAATCCGGAGTGGTGGGCTTTGGTGGGTACACTTGTGCACTGCAGGGGCAAGGTGTGATTAACACGTACACACAATTTAAAACTACTTTTTTTTTTTTAACCACACTAATCCCAGGCAAAAATATAGTAAGCTTTAAATTACAAGAATGCAACTACGCCTATCCAATTTTCTCTTTGGTATGTCACCATGCTGCTCAAGCTTCTCTTGCAGTACAAACTATTTAAGCAAATTAAACCTATTTCAGTTTTTAAAAGGTCATTAAAGTATTTTCAAATACAAAAATTTGTTTCAAAAAGTATATCACAAAACCTTTTGAATGGATCTTTTTGCAAGATTTGCAAGGAGTCAATACACTGATAATGGCTGTGCAGTAGCTAAGGTGAGATAATAAACAGTATTTTTTAATATGTATTTATATATATACATTCTATTCTCATATTAAAGTGCCTAAAAAGCCTGTGTCTCTTAATGAATTTTAAGTTCTCTGGAGCAGGAACTATGCATTCCTGTATTCAGAACATGTAGCACATCGTGTTACAAGAATAAAAATGGATTACCACAAATCCTTGAATGAAAGTGTCTAACTGAATTTCCAGTGTACTTCATGATGAGCAGTAATTCCAAACATTCAACCTATGTTGCAAAGTCTCCAGGACAAAAGTGGATTTGGCTTCGGTAGAGAAACAGTAAATCTAATTTGGGTTTATTTACCCGGTATTTACATTTCTGTAAGCTCAGGAGCAAGGTAAATGAAATACTTAAATATAATATTCTTCCTAATGAAACACACATGCTATATGCCTAGCATTGACATTATATCCCTCCTTGTGATTGCTGGGTCCCAAGTCAACAGAATTTTTTGCTTGGGTAGAGAAAGAATTGTTCTGGGACTGATAACGTGAAAGGTTATGCAGAAATATTTTTGTCTTTACACTGCTTATACCAATAAACAAAATCATTTTGAACAGACAGAGTCTGTATAAAAGTAGATCTTCAACTGCTTGAAACAACTATCATCTAACTCATCTACAGCAGGATGGTAAAACTAAAAAACACTGGAACAAGCTGGAAGAACCATAAAAGCAGCAGAAGCCAGACAGATTCTGTGCCAATAATTAGAGATTGCGGTAAATGTCAACTGATGTTAAATACTGTGGTGAGTTTTTAAGTTCCTCCCTTCGGTAGAATCTTATTTAAAAAACAAACTGTGGTACAATTGAAGGAAATAACTAATGGTTATGTAAAGAAAAAATTAAATAACAATACTAAAAGCCCAATGTGGACATTTGCCATAGTACTGTACAAAAGAGCAGCAAATCAAGAATTTTATTTTTCTGCAGCTAGTCTCGTAAAACTCCTAAGTTAAATGGGTCTACTAAAGCAAGAGGACATTCCACAAAACTGCTGTCAGAAGAAACCTATGGGGGATATTAAATAATTAATCTACACTGAATTTTCATAATTTTGTGTACAAAAGTGGAAGATAAATTTAACTGAAGCTTTTAATTTAACTGATATGAAGGTTCTTGGCCATAATCCTCACTAATCTTAGTTAACTCTCCACGTCTCTTTAGATGGTGGAGTTTAGGCACTGTACGTTGACACAAAGCAGCACTGCTACAGAAAAGAACTGGTTCTGTTTTTTTTCCCTTCTACTCCTGTCCACATCCCCCATTTCTCTTGTGCCAGCACAGCCATTTGTATGGCCAGGAAAGAAACTGGACTGCAAAGCAGATTTGTGTTAAAATTAACATCACCTCCAATCCCACACCACCCCCAAAAGCCAACCCAAACCAATGAACTTATTTCAACAGCAGTACTAGTTTACACTGGCTAAAAGTGAGAATGAAACTATGATAATGAACCTCTGCCAAGTGTTCCTAGCTGTGGTGCATTTGGTGTATAAGCCTGTGGCTTATACAGCCACTTTCAGGGAGATGTTCTGGATCCTCTGCTTGGCATTTGCGAGACCAGATCTGCAGCACGGTATCTAGTTTTGGGATCTCTGGCACAAGTAAGACACTGACATACTACAGCATACTACAGCGGAAGGCCATCAAGACAACCAGGGGGACAGAGGCCAGGGCATAAAAGAAGAGGCTGTGAGAAGTGAGTTTGTTCAGCCTTAAGAACCCAAGGCTAAGGGGAGATCTAATTGCAGTCTACAGCAACTTAATGGGTGGGTATAGAGAAGACAGAGCCAGATTCTTCTTGAAGGTGCACAAGGATAGGACTAGAGACAACAGGCACAAGCTGGAACATGGGAAATTCCAGTATTAGGACAAGCTTTTTCACCACAAAGGTGATGAAGCAGTGGAACAGGAGCCCAGAGGTCATGCAGTCTCCATCCTCGGAGATTCAAAACTTGACTGGACAAAGCCAGGAGCAATCTGACCTAAACTGGCCATGCTTTTCCAGGGTGTTGGACTAGACAACTCCAGAGGTCTGTTCCAAACTTCTATGATCCTATGAACCTCAGCAAATATAATGTGTGAAATAACAAGAAGTGTTCTTTGGGGAGCAGTCCATCATTTGGACTTTTTTTTTTGTGCACCGAGCACAATAACAACGTTTCAAATGTTGCCAGGTACTGCTGGAACAGAAATAATAAATAATAATAGGGAAACTGTGCCAGTTTTAAGGCTAACACATCTAAAACTACATATGATAATTTAAAATATTTTTAATTTTAAATATTTAAACACAGGAAGCCAGTTGGCTACAAACTTGGCTTGTACCTTAGAAGATTTCTTTGAGAATGACAGAACAAGAACCCAGTCTCATTATTTCTAACACATGTGAACAGTCCCAAAGAAGTAGTGAGACAGATTTGGTGTATAAGCAATTGCAAGATCAGGCCACAAGCCAAGCTAGTTCCAGTTGTTTCAAATTATAAAATTTTTACATACATACAGGCAGAAATACTTACCGTGCTAGAATAATTAAAAACTGATTGAAATGAATTGGCTTAAAGCTATTCCCTCCCCTCCCAAAAGTAACATCTTTCATTTTAGACTAAATATGGGAAATTTCATAGTTTCCAGCATCTGATAAAATGGGGTTTAGAAAAAGTTGGAATTAAAATATACTGTGAATATCTGGCAACTTCAACTTAATGGAACAATAGTAGCTTTCCATTACTTAAAACATAAAAGGCAAATTCAAGAGATGTTCTGAGATATTTTAATTCTAAAGAATCTATTTTTGTTCTGACTACCAGAGGTATCAATTACTTTTTCTTAAGAAAGAATATCCCTAGTATTAATCTCTCTATATTAATAAGCAGTATGTTCAAAGTCCTAATCCAAGACTCTAGATATGGTTTTCTAAACTTGATATTTTGTAGCCTCTAGTAAAAGGCAGTAACACTTAAAAGGAAATAGTATCTTAAATAGGATAGTATCTATTTTTACATATTATTTTTATACATCTTGCAGCTTTATTTAACAAAAATAGTAATTAACTTATATTTAGCTGTACTGCTTTCTACCACTGAAGCCCCAAGTATTCTGTTAGCATTTAATTAAATCTTTGCTAGGCCTTTCTTATTTAGATCAGAAGTCTGACACCTATTTTACATTAGAGGGAAAGCAGTTCCCAGTTTTGCATTCAAAATAGCTTGACAAACTAAATCATTTGCTGTAACCATTTAGGAGTTTTCCTTCTCCTGAGGGGCTCCTCAGTATTCTTTGAACACACAAGCAGCTGTTCTTTAAAATGTTTAGGACCAAACTGAAATCGCTGATGTGCAATATATTTTGGTTCCTAACCTGCAGGGCTATGTAACTGCATGCACACACTAAATAAGAAAAACAACACATGAACTGTATTGGCATTGTGGTTGTGCCTAGAGCCATACCGCAGCAAGGAATCACACAAATACGTGGGAAAAAAAATTGTAAGTATTCCAAAGAGCTCATCTTGTATAGGGTTGTCTCTTTTTCAACGTTTATAGATGCCTGAAAAGAACAACCATTGGTTTTCACTAAGATGACATTGGATACATTTATTTTTCATTAGAAGAATTAAGGGAATGGAGAACTAGCACATTCCTGCACAAACCTCAGGGATTAGGCTGTGCTGCATCTGGGAATTAACAAACTAGTCTCAACAAGTTTGATCTTTCTGGGAAAAGATAAAACTGAACTACAGGCTAAGCAGAGAAAGAACTGATAACCTTGCAAGATTTGTTCTGAGCTTTTTTGTTCATGAACCACATAAAAAGAAAGTAATGTCAGACATAAAAAAAAAAAATATTATTGCAACAAGCAAGAGTGAAAAGAACAGCTTGTGAAAAGCCTTCTAGACAAACTAATGGTAGATAATTCACCGATAGTATAATTTTGTTTGCTTCTTTCTAGCACATAAATCCATAAGAACAAGCTGTGCTGTTATACCAGATTCTGCATGTGATTTCATTAAATCCTAAAGCATTTAATGAAAGATGGAGTATAAAATGTGATGTTAGATTTGATACTTGCATGTTTGGGACCCGACATCCCATGGCTGTCTGAAACTATAGCTGACATTTTAGAACTTTTATTCTGTGACAAAGGTATCACAGATCAAAACTGCTGACCTTCTTGGCAGTAAATAACAGAAATTTCTGATTCAGTAATAATTCAGCTAATCACAAGGACTACCCCCTTTTTCTCATCTTTAACAATACAAACACTCCACATAGTGTACGAGATGTCCCAAGCTAAATGGCTAGCTTTCTGTTCTACAGCTACCATAATCTTCTGTTAAAAACGTATCATTCACATAATATCCACAAACCACGGGATTTTATTATTTAAAGGTATTTCTTGGTGAACAAGAATGATCAAGACATTTTGGTAAAATTGTGTGATAAAAACTTTTAAATTTTAATGACTAAGAAAACCAAACTAAGCAATAAAAAAACCCAAAAACAAACCAGTGTAAATTTAATCTTGTCTTAGCATGCACATCTGTGTTAAAAAGAATATTTTTAGGAGCAGTTGAACTGGATAGCTCTAAAGAGTTCATCTTTAAACTCAAGATGATTTATTACCTATTTAAAAGACTCAGTACTAAGATAAAGCAGAAATACACTATTTTTTTCTGGTAGTAACTAAAAATCCCAAATAAAAAATAAAAACATCCCCAAAAAGGGTAAGGACGGAACATAAATAGGATTTTAGCTAGGAGGAAGTTATTTGAGACTTAGAAACACCAAGTAGATGGGGCACTGGAGCTGGAATAGAACACCTCAGGAAGGCAGTTGTAAGCAGCACATTCAATAAATTAGGCCACAGAGAATAATGATTTAAAAAAATCCATAAAATAAGAATGGCCAGAGCTGCTCAGAGCAAAGGTCCATCTTACCCAATTGCTCTTTTCTGACTGTGACTGCTAGTAAACACTGAGGGAAATTAAAAAAAAAAAAAAAAAAAAAAAGTATAAATGATATTTTCCCAGTATATATTCTAGGATCATGAAAGTCTTTAGGTACTTTCTGATTTAAGAAGATGAAGGAAATGCAGATGTAGTTGGTTGAATGGACCAAGTTTAAAAAATTAGAATTATCTTTAAGATTTGTAGAATTAACTTATTGCTTTAAGTACCATACAGATATGTGACTGGTAACCTTTATTTGGGTATGTAACCATTTATCTCTGTATCAGACTTCTCAAATGCATACCTTACATGGATCTGAAAGTAAAGGAAGCCATGAAAGAAAAGAGAAAACAGATGGCATATGAATATATAACAATAACTAAAAAAACAACTTTCAAACTTGTGACATAAGAAAAACAAATGCTTCATTTTGCCTCTTTTCTCAGCAAAAAGAAAGGAACAATGGTAATAGTTCATCCTTGAAAATCAATTCAATAACACTTCAGACACAGAATGAAATCAAACATAACTTATGTGCTAACGTAATTTATTTCATTGTAAAGTACGACAAGGTTATTCTTAAAACCAAAGGTATTTATGTACCATTCTTGTTCTCAGAATATGCTGTAGGAGTCCCACACTTGGATCTGTGCTCCCATGATATGGCTGGCAGGAACTTCCATAGGTCTACCATTTCCATAAATGTAGAAGAGAGAAGCCTCCTCTATAGTAGAGAGCATATTTCTGTGTCTGTGCATAGAGTGATCCCAGCTATCTTCCCATGGTAATTACTTTTTAAAAGAAAATAGCAGAAAAGAACACAAACTGTACCCTCAGCTCTGCAGGAAAGGTAGATGAATGAGCAGGGATCTATTATAAGTATACACCTGTATTTCTTGTTCTCCAAATAGAAGTAATTTTCTTTTCTCCATGAAGTGGTAATAATAATACACTCTGGCTCCAGAGAAGCTAAACTTCTCAATGTGTCTTTCAAGACTGTCCTCTAGCAATAAAGTATAACAAAGGGAAAAATTTAATGTGTGTTGCAAAGAGCAATGAGAGAAAAGTTAGGAACAGCCAAACAATGAAAACCCAAGTTTTGTTTCTAATATACAGGGGATAAGTTTTTGCAGGGGGGAAAAAGGTAACTAGTGACATTATGAAAAAAGCAAACAACTAACAACTTTCACTAAGCCAGTGGGAGACTATGTGTGTTCTCAGCCCAAAATATGTGCCGTTGCACCATTTAGCCAATCCAGGGGCACAGTTCAGGCATAAGTGCTTTCTGAAAGCCTGAAGAAAACACCATACTGGTGTCCTGCAAGTCCCCTGAACAAGAATAAATACTTTGCCTTAGCATTCTCTTCATCACATATAACTGAGTTCTGATAGCTGTTGGACAGTGTCTGAGCCACAAATGATATTCACGGCCAGTTACACTGGAAAGCTTGCCTGTCTGAGACCTCAGGAGCTGCAGCATCTCCCACCTTCCTACTTTGCTAATTCCTGAATGCTCTGGAGTATCTGCACTTGGCAGACATATACTGAAACATCCCAGAATAAAATTCAGTTGTCCATTTGGGTTACTTAGACCAACGCTTAAATGCAAGAAGATTTGTAAACTGGGAATGTCGTGATATGGTTTGTAACGGTTTTTAACAGAAATTTCAAAAGAGGGTAATTCAGTCCTGAAGAACTTACTCTGACAGATACTGTTATCAGACAAAAAGTCCTACAAGTAAGCAGGGCCTTGTTTTTCTCTTAGCTCTGCCCCTTCCTCTCCAACCAAAGGTATCATGTTCACTACAGAAATCACGTTTGTTGGAGATAACTTTAACTATAATCAAGGCATGGCTTCTATCCACTGGGTTGCTTCTCTCACATTCCTGTTTATAGAAAGAGAGGGTGAGGGGAAGGAACACAGCATGCATAATGCTAATAAATAGGAAATTTAAATGAAGGCCTTATGAGATGAGCTTAATTTGTCTCTTGTGACAAAAATAATTTCCTCTGGGAGAAATAACACACTTGAATTAGAAAAGAGAGGGAAAGAAGCAGGGGGGGGGCAGGGGGAAGGGAAAACATACAGTTGAAAGGCCAGAGAAACAGATTCACAGAAAACAGATCTGAAAGGAAGAGGCATATGAAGCTACTATTTACCATCAAGTGCAGCGTGCGTGCATCACCTCCTGGCAAGCGAATTTAAAACTGTCAGAACACTAAGACTAGCGCA